AATAAGCATGGTATATTCCGGGCCACACCAATCTCATTGTTATTACTCTTGATTCATAATCACTACAGGAAAACAAAATACCCATTTACATGGAAGAAATTGTCTCTGTCTTCTTGAATATCTAGTAATGAACTTTGAAGATTACACTTTGTCCCTCCTATTCTAACTATTCAGACAAAAAGTCTTTGCTTTGAAGAGAAAATAGAGCAAAACATCAAATATTCACTAGGTGGTATACAGGGCTATAAAAATAGAAAAATGCTGTTTAAAACAGTTTTAAAAGTATGAACCAACATACGAACAAAAATACAGAAATAAAACTCCAATTCTGTTCATCTTTACTCTTGTAACATTCTAATATTCACCATGAGTATTTTTAAGCATTAATTAAAATGTTTATGAAATCAAATTTTCTAAGTTTCTCTTTTCTAAGTTTTAAACTGTTCTGAAGAGATAGGTGACTCTAAAATAGCATGCAGAGACCACAAGAAACTAGAGGTATTCACAATGGTTAGAGAAGAAAAACAAATTAGTGTATATGGCATCTGGGAAAAAGAAAGTGATGATTTGGAAATTTTATGACAGTCATAAGGAAAAAAAAAAAGTCTATTGAGCAAAGGTCAGAAAAGATGCTGTTTGAGAAAGGTTTAGGTCAAGTGAATGACAATGATGATGAATGAAAAATTTGATCTAGTTATGAAAGATGAATGAGGAATATGGAACAAAGAAGCAAAAAGAAGTAAAGTCATCAGAGTCTTAATATGAATATTAAACTTGTCCAGAACAAAGGAGAAAAGGAGCCAAGCCAGCAGACAAATTCCAAAGCAGGAGGGCTACAGAAGACAGTGGTTTGAAAGGAAAATGAAGAAAACAAAAGGATGGAATATCCTTGGGGATGTGGTGAAGACAGGAGAGAATGAAATGAACAGGAGAATAAAGTCTATTGTCTTAATCCCCTGCTCACTATTTGAGACTTTCTATTGTCTCAGCCAATCACCTGTTTGATTATAGAGTCTTCTGTACAGGGTATTTAATACTTGTTAAATGGGTTTCTTTCTATGCTATGGGTCACATGAACAAATATTTAAAATGAATGGGTGCTTTATATTTTCTGGAAGATACATGTCTAGTTTATATAACTAAAGCAAATAAGTAAACAGTCTTGTGCTTAATGCTACCTTCATAAGGTATTATGTTCATCTACGAATGTATTACATGACCTGAAAAACCTACACAATGTAAAGCCTAGAAATATATAGAGGTTTTAATATGGCAGTGTGCTTTCTTTTGAACTTGTCACAAAAGGCCACTGTGTTCTTTATTTAAGACACAATATCTTTATAAAATAGAAGCTGCTGTAGAGCTCTGCCTGATTTATGAACAAACATTAGCATCAAAACTTTACCAGCTACTTGGACTCATTTGTTGGCTACTGACAAGGGAGAAAGAAAGTTATTAGGTTATCATGTTATGAGGTGACAGCAGAAAGTGACATGACTGTGTCATTACAGTTTTAGATGTTCATAGGCCCCCATGTAAATCTGTCAGTCTCAATTCAATAAACCTGAGCTTTTTTATTCCCTGCCAAGTTTTACCTTTCCATGATTCTTGACTTTTATATCCCTAACTTCTCTGTTCCTCATTGTTATCTTGGATCTCCACATACTGCTTTGTGATCTCTTTCTATTTTATTCCCTTGCTCCTTCTCTATATCTTACTTTTGATTTGGATATAATTAACAATTACAGGACATCAATATGAAATTTGAAATCAGGCAACTCATTTTTTGAATGATGGCATGCTGATGTTCTAGAGTTTTCTCTTTCATTGGTTTTCCATTTCTTTCCTATAACATTTCTATGTACAACTATGTACTACTTGAATTGAGCAGTCAAGACTAGTTAATAGCTGGGATGTCTGTGGAGACCAAAATATAGTAATATTTGAAGTCACTGGCACTCTGCAGAGAAAAATGTAATCTATGTTTTTTAAAGACGCTTTAATTGCTCAGCAATCATGCAGAACTGAGAAATATAGCTCTGCTTCCAAGATAATAACTCCCCAAATTTCAAAGGTCACTACTCAATCCCCTTGCTATCTAGAAAAAAATGTGAGAATGACACCCAGAGTCAAAAAATTCAAATAGTTAGTCTATTATTCATAGCATAGACTATTAGTTTTCATGTATTTTTATCATATTGCAAATAACCTGCTGTGTGCTATTATCATTTCAAAAATAAAGGATTTCAGCTAACTTTGTTCATAATAGAAAAAAAAAAAGTGTTCATACAGAGCCCAATTTTACAGTCCTCATTTGATGAAAACTACAAGTAAAAATTTACAACAGTTCTACAGTCTACGAATTCCACAACAGTAAGTGGTAAGAGGATGTGACACAGAAGTGAAGGAAGCAGTGCTAATTGCAATCAGCTTTCACTGGACCTTAATGCTGTTCCTTGAAACTTTCCTATCTTTTCTTGTAATTATTGTATCAACTAAAGAGGGTTCAAATCTTTTATTATGTTAACTCAAACAAAAGAATTATTTATTTAAGCAGAGTACTTTCATAGTTATCAAAATATTATTAAATGGATATCATCTATCCAGTGTATTGATTAGAAAAATCCCAGCAAATTATGATATTTGTAATATCTGAACTGAATTTATGCATGAATTTGTAAGGCTGAAACTTTGTAACTCTATGAAAGTTGCTCAAAACTTGCTTTGTGCAAACTGCCTCCAAAACTGAGCAAATACCTATGTATTGTTTTTAACTCCTTTTCTTCCCCTAGGGGCCTAAATATTGTATGTCTGTGTACTTGAAAGAAGTTTTGGGGGGCTCTATTCAAGCATATTTTGACATTCATATCCTGTCAGTACTTTTGAAATTGTACTTAGTATAATGGCTCAAAACATGTAACTATGGTGTAATATTTATTTTTTAATGAAAGAAAAACCATATCAATGCCATATCGATACCATCTCTGTGTCACATTCTATCGTAAGGTGGCTATGCTACTCAACATAATGGTTCAGCACCATGGACAAGTACTATGAACACCTAACGATCCTGGTAGTGAAATCGACTTTACTCAAAGAACACCTTTCATCAAAAAGAAAGAGAAAGAAAGAAAGAAAGAAAGAAAGAAAGAAAGAAAGAAAGAAAGAAAGAAAGAAAGAAAGAAAGAAAGAAAGAAAGAAAGAAAGAAAGAAAGANAGAAAGAAAGAAAGAAAGAAAGAAAGAAAGAAAGAAAGAAAGAAAGAAAGAAAGAAAGAAAGAAAGAAAGAAAGAAAGAAAGAAAGAAAGAAAGATTATAAAAAAAAAGGAAAATCTTATGACTTAACTTGCTTAAATCACAGCTCAAGTGAGAATTAAAAAAAGTCATGAAAGTTATCAGATAGTGTCAGAAAAAGCAAATGCAGGGCTACATAAATAGTTAGCATGTATTACTTGTTCTCTGTGCTAACTTATCTCTTTAGTTTGTCATTACCAAAGGAAAATGAATATTAAAAAAAAAAAGCCCAGCAACTAAAAAGCATATTAAAATCCCCAAAGCTCTTGTCATTTCTTCTTAGCATAACTTGCCCTTACAAGTATTATAAAATATTTATTATTACTATATTTATTTTCATTTGTTATGTCATGCTGAAGATAAAAGCCCTTTTTAAAATGGCTTTAAAATTATGGTGGCATAATACAGATTCTTTATCTTGTTCAATATTCTATATGCAATTTTCCCAGCTAAATTATGATTGTACATAATAAATCAACTTTTTCATAATAGTTTCATAATGCACTTTCATTTTGTTAAGTTTAAAAATTATGCATTTCATAAACTTCAATAGTTTAAAAGAAATTTGGCAAAACATTTGACTGATAAAATGATGGTCTTCATGAGAGGGAAAAGCTTTGTTTATTAGTACCTGTAATTATTAAGTAGCTGGAAAAGGAATCAACAAATTTTCAGTTTCAAAGATATGACCAAAATTAAGAGTAGGGTAACAATTTGTCTTCTCATATGAGCCAACCTTTCTAAATACCTCTTACCATTACAGATTTTATTACAGATATATTGTACAATCTGATGTACAGAATCATCATATAAAGACCTGTTATCTTTATAAAACAATACTATCTCCCATCAATCCACTACATTCTATTGGAGTCTAGTGTTAGTAGTGGCATCTTTTAACGCCTAATTCTCTGGAAGAATTTATTTTGTCACTAGAATTATGTTTTCAGACATTTACTTCACCTGTCCTACAAGTGTCTCACACTTCCTCAAACATTTTTCCACATCATGTCATAAGTGAGCAGAGCTGGACACATTCTGTTTACTTGAGGCCAACTTGCAGTTCTGTACAAACTAAGAATAATTTATTCAGTGTCTTAAATAACACAAGTAATTATTTTATTTTGTTTCCCAGTGAAGATTATGATTTCTTTTTAGTATTTTTGTGAAAACAAATCACTTTCTAGTACCCAAATCCATACCAAAGCCCCCTACTCATTAATTCAAACAAAATGGAAGAACCACATATTTCTATGCATGGTCAAATTAAAATACTACATCTATGTCTTTTTTCATAATTATCATTACTTAAGGAATACTGTAGCAAGTCCTCTCAGAAACTGTATACTTTTCTAACACTATAAATTCACTGCTACCTCATAAATAGTTAGAAAATCTTCTTATTTCATTATCCAAATCAAATAAACTGTCAGAGAAAATAATAAAGAACCAAAACATAGTTTAAAGAATTACATTTGTTTGGAATTTTTAATTTACCTCCTGTTAAGCATCTGGGCTATTTTAACCTTATCAGCACTTCTAACTCACATATGTAAAAGGAGTGCTGAGCTGTACTCATAAAGTTGAAGAACAGAAACTTATCCCCCCTTTTTTTTTTCTATTAACATTTTTGAAATTGAACATTTTCCATTCCTGGCAACATACTTGTTGAAATGTTGGCTGTAACCAAACACCAGCTGCACTTACCCCAGGGTTGTCATGGTGACAATGGTGTACCAGAAGGCAGCAGGGATGCTGGTGAACTTGCTGGCTGATGAACCTTTCTCTGCATAGTACATGACTGTGGCGAAGATGATGATGGCCATGGTGAGGGAGAAGAGAAGAAAGCCTAACTCCGAGGCACAACTTTTCAGAGTGTAACCCAGGATGCGCAGTCCCTGTGAGTGGCGGGAAAACTTAAAGATCCTGAAGACACGAAAGACTCGCAGTGTCACAAAAGCCCCACTGACATCCTCGTTATCCGTCATCACCAGGCCAATGTAATACGGCATGATGGCAACCACATCAATGATACTCATGACACTGCGCACAAACTTGTAACGACTAGGGGCTGCCAGCAAGCGTAACAGATATTCAACCGTGAAGATCATGACACAAGCAGTATCCAGACAGAAGAAAGCCACAGCGTAGCGTTCTCCACAGGGCAGTTCCTTGATGCGGCCCGGGCTTACCCCACAGGGTACTGTTTCCACCACATTGGCAATAACAGAGACTGCAATGAAGAAACCAGTGACATAGTAGAAGACCAGAGCCAGTGTACTGGTGTGGGGGTTTTCAAAGGCCCGCCACATCCTCTGCCGAGCTGTCATTGAGGGTAGGGAGCTCTCGGCTACATGATCCTGATCAGCGTCATCCTGCAGGCGCTCAGCATTCTCACGACGGCGATCCTTGTACTCCTCATAACAGCAGTCGCCAATGATCTCAGGGATGATGCCAAAGAAGGCCAGCTCCTCATCATAGGCAGAGATGCACTCTTGGCGGGGGTAATGAAGCTTCCCTGTTCGGTAGAAGTTGAGAATGTGGCGAAAAATGTCAGGGTCCCGATCAAAAAAGTACTGCTGGGTCTCAGGGTGATAGAAGAAGTCCCGCTCTGAACTGCCCAGCAGAGTGTCTGGGTAGCGCTCTAAAGTGTCCAGCCACGTCTGGAACTGTATACCACTCACATTCAGCACAATCAGAGAGTCCTGGCTTCGCTTCCTCTCCTGCCGTGGTGCAGCTGGCATGGGACCTGTGGCTACTGGCATCCATCCTATGGCGGCCGCCCTGGCGAAGGGTAACCATGCTGCCACTCCTGCTGCCATGGTCCTGAACAGCTACTACAGCTGAGCGAGTCAGTCTAAAGACACTTCTGGTATGGCCACTAAAATACAAAGGAAAAAGAAAAATACAAATGCTCACACATTTTGGAGGCAACAGAATTTCAGAATGCTACAGTGATTCAGTATTAACCGGGCTGCCTTCTTATTTCCTCTCCTTTCTCGTCCGAGACTATCCTTTCCAGGGGCTGATCAGCCAGTCAAGGCAATAAATCAGTACGCCGGGAAATCAACATATTCGAAGCACCTTCAGCTCCCCAGCAGCCGGATCCCCTGGAGGCGAGGTCCGTACGTGGCCCCTCGCTGGAAGCGACGCTCCGGAGCGCTCGCCCCCGCGGCTGGCAGCAGCCCTGGCGCATCCGCGCAGCCACCTGGAAGGAGATTTTCCTCCACGCGCGATGCAGCCTGGCCCCGCGCCCCTCCTCCGCCCGCTGCCGGAGCCGGAGCCGGGCCGCGGCGGAGCCCTCCGGGGCTGCAGCGGGGCCGCCCGGCGCCGCCCGCCCGCTCGCCCGCCGAGGCAGGGCCGCCCCCGCCCGCCCCCGCCCGCAGCCCTGGAGCAACCGCGGGACGAATCCGCTCCCTGACCTTGATCGCTGCCCCCCCGGGGGCTCCTCCCGAGCCAGGTTTGAGGCCGGGGGAGCCGGCGGGGCAGGGGGAGGAGCTCCGCGCGGCGGCATTAAACTTTAAGGCAAGTTTTCCTTGCAGGAAATGCGTTGAAGGGCAGAGGGGCGCAGGGGAGGGGGCGCCTGGAAAAGGGCGAGGAAGCAGCGAGCGGAGCGGGGGGCGAGTCCCTCGTGGCGTGCGGAGCCGAGGGCTGCGGGCAGCGACCGATCCGGAGCGCGGATAGCGCTGAGCAGGGCCCCGCTGCGGGGGACACGGGAGAAGCGGAGGCCCCCGCGGAGAGTGGGATGTGGGGAGACTCGGGGCATCCTCGGCGGCGGCGAAGGGCGCAGCCGGGAGCGGAGGAGCGAGCGGGGCAGGGGCTGCCAGGAGCCCGCGGGAGCCGCGGGAAGGCAGCACGGGGCCCGCTGCAGCTCGGCGAGCAGCGGCGGGTGGTCCCCCACCCCCCCGCCTCCTTCCTTCGCCCCTCGCCCCGGCTCCGCTCTCGCATCCCTACGGCCGTGCCCGGTCTTCGGCACCTACCTGGGAAAGTGTGGCGAGAGCGCTCAGTTGCATAGAGACTTTTTAGAAATACGGGCTCTACCGCTAGATCTCCGTGCCCCGCCGGGAACGGCGGGCAAGTAGTTGCTCCTGAGAAAGCTTGATCTCATCCAAAGGGACATCGATAATAAGGCTTTCCCCAACCCCCACCCCCCTCCGCCGCCGCCGAGCGCCGAGCAACAAGTTCAAGGGGTGGGTGGGGGGAAAAAAACAACGTAATCGCGCCTGGCAACTCGGCGGAGCGCGTCCTTGCGCGGCGCGGATCCTGCGGCGCGGGG